TATAGATTTAACTGCATACCAATCACTTCAACTATGTGCAGAAGGTGTTACAGAAGTTGAGATTGATGCTAATACATCTGAAGAAGAGGAGGACTATGGAGAAGAAAAAGATTCAGAATCCTCAAGAAATAGTGATAATGTTGAGGATAGTGATGATAGCGATGATAGTGATGATTAATTGAAACATCTGTATTATTACTTAATAAATATATGTATTAAAATTTCTTTGTCTTACATATATTGTTTTATCAAGTTATATATTTTTCATTTAAAATAGAATCATTATATGATTGTCCTAAATTTGTTACTTATTATTTGTATAAATGTATTAATAACTATTTTGTTATTCATTTTTCAGGATGTTTGGAAATCCTTTTAAAGATCTCAAGCTTTTAAGATCTGATGCCATGCTGCAAAAGACACCAACCTTCGAAAACAAAGAATGCAACCTTTGAGCAATACTTTTTGGAATGGTTGGAAGATCCTTTCCAGCAGACTTGACTCTTAAATGTCGAATAGTACTAAAATTCTGATCATCAATGTTGCAACTAGTTTCCCAAATCAAGGTTTCACCTTTTGAAACAAGCAATGTAAGATCATGCACTAGATCATGCATTTTGCAAGATTCAATGTTCCCATACAAATCCCATTTAATATCTTGAAATAGAGAATTGGACAACAACTCATTGAAGTAGTCATTGCCTATATCTTCCATTGGCTTAAGGCTTTTCTCTAATTCATAAAGAAATCGTTGAGCCATCCAGAGTTGAATTAAATCATCTTTTTCAATGACAAAATCTTTTGGAAAAATTGAGCAATAAGAGAAGCATTTTTTCAAAGGTGAAGACAAACGATCAAAACTTAATTTTAGTATTGATAAAATCTTTTTATTTTCATCTTGCAAAGTCAATGTTTTATCATCTAGGACATGTAGGATCTCTTGCCACTTATCTTCCCTCAATTCACGACCCATTGTTCCTCCAATGACACTTGCAACTAATGGCAGCCCTCCACTTTTTTTGGCAATTTTCATTCCAATGTCTTCTAAACTTGAAGATAATGAAGTTTTTGTGGACGATCTAAGAATTAAATCCTTAATTATCAACCAACATTCATCATCTGATAGATTAACCATGTCATGCTTCTGCATAGGAAGTGTCTCTGATATTATAGATGCTACCTTATCACTGCGAGTTGTCACAAGAATGGAGTTCCCAGTGGTTTTTAAAATTTTTAACAAATGAGAACTAAAACTCTTCCACTTGTCTCTATCATCATTCCACACATCATCGAGAACAAGAAGGAAAATTTTCTTCTCTAACTCCTTCTCAAGCTTTTGAAGAAGTGCATCATAATTACTCATTTGACTGGCACTTACATCAAAATATTCAAACAATTGTTGAAAAATTATTTGTTCATCAAAATTTTCAGATACACACACCCAAGCCACCTGATCATAACTCTTTTGTTCTTTTACCTTTTCACATATTGATTTTGCTAGTGTTGTCTTTCCTATTCCCCCCATGCCTACCATCGTAATGCCAGCAAGGCAATGTTGACTCCTCTTTTCAGACAATATGTTGACAATTTTTGAGACATCATTATGCCTTCCTACAACTTTGGAACAATCATTTATAGAGTCTGTCTTAGGATATTGCTTCACAGTGGGATGAGTTTCTTCACTAGATTTAATAAGCTGAAGCCAAGCTACATTCTTTTGGAGTTTATCAAGAGACTCATTGATTTTCTTAATTTTTTCAGCCATTCCAAGTGGAAAGAAAGTGGGATTTGAGAGACAGGACAAAAAGCGCGCCTATTTCCTCTCGTGGCCTT